AAGCCGTGATAACTCAGTGTCTAGATGTTCACAGTGTGATCGAGTGGAGGATAGCTTGATAAAAACTTTAGTAGATTTAAACTTGAGTAGATTTTTTGCCTTTGAGCTTTTAAACTTTGCTCTACAAATTCACATTTAATAAGGAAATTTCTATGTACTCATACTAAATGGCCTCAAGTTTCCATCCTACAAACGCATTTGGCAAAGTGCTTCCCCTCGGTTGACATAGGTTGTCCATTTCCCCTAAGCGGTCTCTCGCAAATGATATTTGTTCGTAATTGGGAGAATCGCCAAGAAGGTAATTTTCATTTTAAACTACCAAATGAGCGTAATGATTTTGAAATTTATTCTAAAAGTATAATTAAAAATCTCTCTCAAATCTTATTACTCTCTAACATTAATTAAATTCAACCGTAGCAGAGTAGTAGTTTTACCGTCTCAGATCTCAGATCTTAATTCATCAGATAGTTAAAGTTGCTTATAATAATTCACGTGTCCCTACACAGCTTCTACTATGGTACCTAGGTAAAGCTCATCCGAATATATACCATGGTCTCAAAGAATATTCTCGTAAAAGATTTATCCTTTCCCACAATCTTAAAGGTAAATAATTTCTATTTCATAGTCCTTATTGTTGTAAATGGACGGCGGTAATCAATTACAGACCAAATGTTTCCCATCATCTCTCGTAAAGAAGAGGGTTCACTTGCCTTCGTACACCATTCTTAAAAATCAGGTAGAAATGTTTGTATTTAAAAAAATCTGAAAAGTGGAAGAAAGGCATAAATATCACTATTTTGCAAGTTCTGGTGCCCATTTGCAACATATTGCATCTGAGCTTTATTTATAAACTCAACTCCGAAGAAAATATTCGAGAAATTATTTGATTCAAAACTATAAAAAGAATCGCGGAATTTAAATAAAGTATATCTAATACCCTTCGTAGTGATGAAGCAAGTTCTAATTAAAATGAAAGCTGCTTACGCTCTACCTAAGATTATTTCTACACAAGCCTCTGAGATAAAACTTGGCAAGATTCTGCAGCCGAAAAGTGGACGAAAAAAACGAGCGCTAGAGTAAATCCCACTAAATAACGTCCGCAGCTTCGAGGTACGTAATTAAGTGCGGAGTGCGCCTTTAAATCTGAAACTTTCTACGGGACGGATGCCGGCCCGGTATCCACGAAGATCTCCTTTAAATTTATGCACTGACTAAATACTTCCCAGTAACAGGTGCTACATTGCTCAGTGGCGTATTAAATTCCCGCGGGAACTTTTGCATTGTCCCCAAAACTCCGTGTCTGCATTCGAGATCTTAGGAGTGTTCCGAATCTTAATGCTTGTTCCATCGTCTTGTGACTATTTGACTAGTTCTTGTTTCAAACAAGAACTAGTAATATAGTCAAAATAACTAAATGAAACTTTAAATTAATTACCTTCAAATTTTTATTGATTTATAACATTGGGTGGTGAATAAAAGCCCAATAATATCTGTATTTTAAGCTCCACTTACTTTCAACTACCTTTTCTTATTCTACTTCGAATTTTCACTCCTTCATTTAATATTAATATGATTAAATGACGTATCGGTTTATGAATGAATTTAGACAACAAAATTTTATTAATTGGATAGGCATATTATACCCGTTTTCACGGTTAGGTCTCGTTTATAGTCTGACGACAAACACTTCTAACGTCCCTACAGTTTAGTTAAGTTCGTTTCACCGCAGTGAACGTCCATCGATTCCGAATTTCCGACAAGTCCGAGAACTAACTGCGAGCAACATCTAGTTCCGGTCGAAGTTATCTTGCCTTAACGTTCAATTGATTCCTTTAAGTTGTCGGAGGGGAGCGGTTTACACTGGGCTGTATCTTCGTGCCAACTTTATTCCTTTGAGTTGTTCGATGTTCGCGTTAAAACATTTCCATAAGCTTGACTTCTCTATTTAGAAATGTAGTTGTAGTTTGATTTCCATAAAATATATCGCCGTCAAAACATTTGAATAAAATTTATTACTCTTATTGAAACTGTGCAAAGAATATAGATGTCTTACTTTAATAGGCTTAAACTCGACGTCATGAAGCGCTCGGTTGACGTAAATTACCGCGAAAATGATTGCTGGAGGCATTTTTCATCGCTGGACGGCTGGATGAAGATTCCATTAAAGCGCCCGGCCTACGGACCGGATTTCTTCATTTCCGAGCGGGTCCTTAACGTAGCGACTTAATACACTTCGGATATACTTTGTTTATAGAATTGTATTGACATTTTCGAATATGAATTTCCAATTGATGAAAGCCGGGATGTAAACAATCTTGAATACAAAAAATAATAACTTGAGTAAAACTGTTTACAGAAATCACTTACGAAATATAAAATCAATATTATCATACTGAATAAATATGCGGCTTTCCATACGCAATAATCCAGAATAATGTTAAATCTTCATCAGTCAATAAATAACGTATTCAGTGAGATTATCCGCACTGATCTCGTAAATTCTTTCATTTTGATTTTATCACCCGTCACATAATGATTGAAGATCAAATAAATAACCTATGAAAACGGATTGGCTGTACGATGCTAGGAGAGTTCCGTCAAACACTCGACTTACCCTCACTATTCCAACTTTTCTCGCTCTTTTTCCGTCGTAATAAGTCCGACAGGAAATTTGCTACTCATAAAGTGGATAAAGGGTGAGCGTTCCCGCAGGAAAAATCTGGGAGAGGAGGGATTTGCTCGGACAGATCCGATTACGTCTGGCATAAACTCGTTATTCCCGAATATATTTCGTGGTCACAATGTACATGTACCACATTTATGTCAGGATTTCCTTTACTGAGTATTCGATGCATTTGGCTTTTCGTGAAATGTTTCTGTATTCCAACTTTATGGCAAAATATTTATTGAAAAACTCTTACCTAATGCGGACCTATAATTAGTATAACACGTGGGATGTGTTTTTCTGTCTTGATGTGCATGAAGTAGTCTTATAACATATATATCATTTAAAAAAAGGAGAAGAAGATCGCATAATTTCATGCCGGTTCTTCTTTGACGTTTAATAGAAGCTTAAAACATGTTGAATAAAGTTAGTCAACTTAACTTTGACTTTCATGTCATTACTCAATGTCAACTTTAAATAACTGCCAAATGACCAAATGTCAGTCGGTGACTCCAATCGATCTATGGTAGTTGTAAAAACACTATGAAGGATTTAAGTGGATATATATACGTATATGTTTTATCTAGTTTATCCAAGCATATGTAATGTGTAGGTTATATTATCTCTGCCATAATTTTGCCGCTACTATATCCGTTTTATAAGGAGTTCAACTAAAGCGTCTAGGCTAGAAATAAATTTCTTAACTATACAGAGTTGGCGGTACTCCAGGCGTCTCGTACTCCACGATCTAGGGAATTCACTGTGCCCGAATTGGTTTCAGCATCATGCTGCCTGTTTGTGAAATTCCCCTAATTAGGATGTTCGCTCGGCGACGCTAGCACTCTTTGCTAACATTTAATTGGCATATTAAATGGAACTGCTCCACTTGAGGGATGGGCCTGGATCCGCCTCCGTTATTATCAGAGTGTTCGCCCATTTGTGCTTTTTCAATTGCACTATTAATTTAACGGCTGTACAATTACATCTGATTGGCAACTTTGAGTAGGTATTTATATCCTTTCTGAATTTTAATATTAGTTCTGTTGTGAGCCTGGTCTTGTTAATTGTGATGATAGAGAACAGTTTAAAACCTGCAAGCATGTTGTGTGAAATGTGTTGGCACGCACAAATAACTAATATATTTTCCTCCTTGTTGTTATTGAAATGTTTTTATCTTGTATGAGATCCGGTATTTGAAAGAATTAAAAAACTTATCTGTATTACGAACGGACGTATGTTTGTGAAGTCTGTGAAGTAGTTTTATTGAAGTGTTTACTAATCATTATGTTTCAAGACCAACACGAACCGGCCTTTTTACAAATTTAACTTGATTTCCAATAAATAATGTAAGACCTCTTTACTATTGAATCTCCTATTGAACTTTTTCCGTCGTTCTTGCAAAAGAAAGTACAAGAATTATCCTCTTAAGCGTAATATAATTTTTTAACATACTTGAATTAAAGTCAAAAAGATAATAAACCAATAATACCATTCTATAATGCTGATGATCATTAGCAAAAAAAAAGTTGAGAAAAAATTGCTATGTATAGAATAGCAATTTCCAATGAAATGTAAAAAAATCATTATTATTTATATTAAAATTTATAGATGTAAAATGTGTTAAAAATTACCTCCTAAATTACAATTTTTCCATTTCATTAGTTATTCATCGGTGTGTGCGTCGGGTTTACCGATTACGTTCTAATTGCATATTTCGTAATTAATCAAGCGACTGTTACTTGATTAATAGACATTCGACGTTCCCCTTCCCGGTACGCGGTGAGCGATGATTTAGTGTTCCGCTAAAGCCCCGGCTTACTGTACAATTTCTCTTTCCAAATTAAGGCGCGGTTTTAAATTCTATCAAGGGGGCATTATCGCTGTCATATTCTTAGCGATCTTTCAATTAAAAGCTACGTTAAGAAAACAGTCCCTTGTTCTAATTAACTCTAAACTTCATTTATCTTTATTGCAACCTGTAATAACTATAGAGAGACGGTCTATATAAAATATAAAAATTGTTTATTTTTCAAACCAAGCGACAAGTACGTATCAATCGCTTTAAAATAGACTCGTCTTTCACTCTATCCTTACAATCTACGTTTTGGATGAATACAACACACTTACTTTATTAGAATTTTATCTGTCGCATCCTTTTAGGTTGGATTAACTTATATAGATAGCTGTAAATCCTTTGATACCTTTCAAAAATTAGATAGTACTCGTTCATGAAGATATTATCTGTTCTACTTTGTTAAAAATAACGAATCCATTGACGCACCCCTTCAATGACGCTTCAGCTAATTTGAAAAGGCCTGGGCCACGCGAGTGATAAATGCTAGTGACCAAACCTGAGAAGAACACCGGTAAAACGAGAACTTCGCAGCCGATAGATGAACTATCGGACTAAGTGACGGTCCCGAGAGAGGATAAGTGATCTCGAAATGGAGATGGCGCCCGGCAGCTGATAGTCGCAGTCCCGAAGAGTGGAAACTGCAAAGGGCCCCAACGGGCCACAGGCCAAAGGACACCTCGGGGACATGGCCCCGCCCCCGCAGTGGCGTTGCGGGGGCGGGCCCAACGCACGGCCCCTGGCCCCACGCGTGGGAGAAGTTCGCGCCCGAGGGCGTCTGCCGCGGCTGCGGTGGTGACTGGCGGTTCAGCGGCGGCCTCAAAGTGGACGTTAACAGTTCGGAGTATACGGGTTACAAGTATTTCTACAACAGACCCGGTTATAGGGTCAAAGCGAGGTCGTGCGAGGACGCGAGGTTCATACACATAAACTTCGTGCTCCTGGCTGAGGTCGCGCACTTCGAAAGAGTGAGTATTTTTGGGCCCTTTGGATGTCATTGGATTATTTTCTAAGAAGCCTTCATTTTACTCTCAAAAAATTATAGGTCACGGATACAATTATTTTCGACATTTAAATAAAGCGATGGAACAAGAAATAACATGAGAAACGATTGGTTACCTCTGTGTTGGCCAACTACCACTACTGAAAGAGAGAAAGAAATATTTATTTGGTACATTTAAAACATGAAATAAAAAAAATACAATACAGTTGAAATTTAGAAATCAGTGAACTAAAAAGGTCACTCAGCATTACATCGCGAAAAATTTTGCGATTGCAGGTTAGTTGTGTTACTAATAACAAAGAGCGGTCAGTACTACTAAATAATATTTGTTATTAAAGTCATTCATCATTATATTCTCACTTCAACAATTGTACAGTTTCAACAAATCACCGTTGGAGTTGTTGCTCCGTTCGTAACAATTATACGAACAGTCTGCGGGCCGCTCTTCAAAGGCGTTAATTGGGATCGAACCCGCTGACACGTTTCGCTGTGAATGCCGCGGATTCAGAACTAATTGTGCCTATTACTCCCAATTGATGTTCGAGCCGAGGTGAGCCTCGCTCCGGGCTTAGTTTGCGATTTGACACTTAAATGTGATTAGTGCGTAAGTCTGTATTGTATTAATGAATCAACACTAGCGCCGGTTCACGTTTTCATTATTGGAAAATAGTATACAGCGTGTCTTTATCATCGCGACAATAAATGAACACACATATAGAGGATAACTTTTTAAAATTGTTTAAAGATTTACATTCTTTAAACAACAATATATACCGAGTTATCAAATTTTCCAAAACAAAGAATTTTAGAACACCTTTACGTATAAAACTTTAATGTAAAGTTCATTTGTAAAGGTCAGAAAGCATATGAATGGGTTGAATGAATTTAAAAGAGACAAAACATACTGTTAGAAGGAGGGGCTTGTAATGCGGCGTGGCAACGAATGAAAAAGTCTCTGAATCTATGAATCAGTCAGTTGTAGTTGTATAGGATGTTACAAATTTTGATTCTTTTTTACTTAATTACTTTGTTTGAAAAATATTTTTTTAAAAATTAAAAGTTTTGAAAAATGAAAACATGTGGAAAAATAATCTATAGGTCACAGTACTTGTCAGAAATACTTGTGCAATCGATTTAGATTGTGGAATCGATACCACATCCCGATCAATAGCTTAGAAACTGGGGCACCCGAGACATGAAAAGACATTCATATAAATAATTTTGAAGTTAACGGTGCCACGAAGCAGCCTCGGCTGTTGCACGAATGGGCAGGTTCATCCGGGTAAGTACCACGACCTTACAGAAGAGCGGCGTCAAGTGGAAGTATAATACTTTTGCGTTTCGTCTGGTGAGTGAAGTAGCCGGAGCCCAATTTTCAAAAGATTGTCACCGCATCTGCAACCCTCGGGTGTAACAGATGTCCATGGGTAGCGGTATTCACTTAACATCAGGTGAACCGCCTGCTCGCTTGGCAACATAAAAAAAAAACGTCTGGCCACTTAAATGACGTACGTATATTGTCTGTTTAATAAAACAGTTCAATAGATAGTATATTTTTTTTACACCTGACGTATCGCATTCAACCCTTCTAATTTGAAATCATAACTCACTGGTACCTAAAGTTATATTATTTTTATATAGGTATATTAGTTTCACAAAAAGTGCTTCACAAGAAAGAAATTTCATCAGGCCGCGCAACTAAAACCTCACGTCAAAGCAAACTAAACAGAAGAAAGATTCCTTATTTACGTCATCGCCTATTTCTCTACGTTTAAAGATGAGTCAAGCACTCACACCCAATCTCGCGTCGAGAGTATAACCCGTAATGAAAATTAATTAGCATTCTATATGCACGGCACTTCAGCGGCCCCAAGCCTCAACCTTGCCTCGACGCTTCAATTACGCCTAATGGAAATTAAAACTCAGTAATCTTTAAACGATAGTGTTCACGAGGGACGCTAACGATTTCCTTTAATTTTATCATTACAATAAACTGAAAATAAACTCCTATGTGTAATAAAACCATTTTTTTTATCTTTATTGCATTATATGTTATTAGAATATACTTGTAGGTAAGGATTATTTTCTTCAACCCAAAATGACCGTTGACATAGGACTCCTCTATCCATTTCCATATCTCTAGCTACTCTACTCTGCTGGGGGCCCGCTGTAAGTTTTATATCTTCCTTCCATCACTTTATTTTTTTTCCTCTGCTTCTTTTTCCTTTTCAAGGATACCAATTCGTTATCATTTGGATCCATTTTACCTTGTTTTACCCTTATCATATGGCCTGTCCGTCTCCATTTCTGCTGTTGAAACTTAGTCACAATTTCCGTCTTTTGTTCTGTCCCTCAGCTTTTCATTTTTTGTTCGGTCAATTATGGCGATACCTAATTTCGGAATTTATTTGTAAGATGTGTTTCACTCCCATATGTTTAACTAGCTGATCCGGCAAACGTTGTTTTATGGAATTTCGTAAAATCCGTTCTTAGCCGACCTCTACTCGGCGAAAGGAATATTCCTACCAAATTTCAAGTCTCGACGCTTTATGATTCCAGAGATTTCGAGATGAGTCAATCATCGGTGGAAATCTCTTATATATAGAGAGATAGATAGATAAGATAATGAGCAAATATTGAAGACTTTTGATTTTATAGCAATGGCCATAGATTTCATAACATTTGTCATTTGAACAATATGTTCTCCGACCGTTAGCTGTTCTTGTCTTTATTCCCTTAGTTATTTCGTCTTTGGGAGATATGAACCATATATTATGAGCAAACTAAAATTATGACAGGAATTCGCTGCGTGCGAAACTAAGCTGTTTGTTTCACCTTATCCAAACATCACATTTTCGATTTATCCTCGAACTAGAACAAACAACAGTATCCCCAAGTAATCTACAACGAGCGGAATGCTATCGGCGAAATAATTATCTTCTTTTTAGTGAAAGGAAAAAAACGAATCAGATTAATGGTTTCTCTCAAGCGAAGCAAAAAGACGCCGGAAAGTTTTGTTTCAGAATTTGCTCCCGGAGTGGGCAAACAGACTAGTTTTATTTAACGCGACAAAAGACACCGCCATCAATATATTGTTCTTGTTAATGTAAAATTGTTTATTGAGAGTCATGTTTTAAGACTATGCTCCCAAAGTAAATACAATCACGCAAAGAGTATTTATAGCATAATGACTGGACCTTATACGTAATTACAAATTTGTATCACTGTCTCCTTAAAGTGTCTCGATATCTTAAATGTAAGTCTATAAAGTACAAGCTTTGAAGTAATAAGCCACTATCATTTCAAAGTTCTTTCAAGTAATGAGTGGTTGCTATATTTTAAAAAATATTTAAGTACATTTTCATTTTTTCTAACATACTGAAAACAGCCGATCGCACATCTGTCCAGTTACAGGGCCATTGCGCCATTAACGATTGCGAAGCTATTTCAATCAAGTGAAATGGTAATCGGGTACTGTCCTCTTTGTAATAAAATATGGCAGCGCAGGAAATTATGGCCGGCATAAATGGTGTCGAATGCTGATATCAAATGACCGCCCAAGGGAAGAGATATGGTGGAGAGAGTGTACATGCAATTGGATTGCGGTAATAGAGTTAGAACGCAAGGCTCGATGCGCAGAGCTATCAATTAGTCGCATTTTGTGGCCAGCCGATTCGGTGACTGCGATGGGCTTCGATTTTACCAGAAAATAGTCGTAGAGGCGTTAATATTCCATGATTAATGTGTTTCTACGTTCCACGGTATTAGTGTGTCGATTTTCAAAGTCCCAATCTTTTTCTAATGACCAACTACAATGCGGTAAGAACTCCGACTGTTGTTGGATGTCGTAGCAAGTTGTTTTCATAATCGTGAACGAAATTTAAAACCAATTCAAACCAAGGAAGTCTTAAATCCATAAAAGACGCCCTAACATCTATGAAGGGAAACCTTTAATTTATTAGAACATACTTCCTTGTATGTGCCTCTTTAATCTTCATTGTATATTGTGTCTGAAACGAACTGTATAACAAGAAATCCCTGTCTCTTATTTCTGTTCTAATATATTCTACAACTTAAATAATAAGATGGTGACCACATTACCCATCTCATTCCTCTCCATTTTTACAATAAAATAAAATCTTGGTACAGTTTACTTAGACGACTCAGATGTGTGCCAATATGAGACAATGAAAATTCATCTGTTATTTAATTTTCATATTATTGTTTATTACATACTAGAAATGTAAATGAGCAAGTCTTAAATTACTTTGTCGAGACCTCCAATCAAGGCACTTGTATCTAATTGTTGTGTATATATAGGCTGGGTTCTTTTACCGTCGGTAGTTGAATATATTAAGGATAAGATGCTGATGTTTAGATAATTATTTTTTTCTTGTAAACTTTTTACAAATTCTTGCCTTCAAGAGGTGTATTACAAATAAATAATTAAACTTACTCTAAACAATGATGACTCCGTGGCGTAGTTGCCAAGGTATTGGCTTCAGCGTCGGGGGTTGCGGGTTCGATTCCCACACGGGACAACTATTTGTGTGACCCACCGATATTTGTTTCGCATGTGGGTATTTGTCCGCGTGAATTTTTTTTAGGTGAATAGTAGCCAAACGACCAGGCGGTTCACCTGATGGTAAGTCAATACCGCCGCCCATGAACATCTGCTGCACCCGAGGGTTACAGATGCGTTGACAACATTTTGAAGATTGGAATTTATGTCTGTAAAACGTCCTTACAACAGAGGATAATATTATCCTAAAGTAAGTGCAATCTTTAAAAAAAAAAACTTGAACACTATAAAGTATCGAAGTGTTAAATTTATATAAATGAAGTAAGATTATTTTTTACTCAGTCATCGCTAATGTTTATAAATGTTATGAATTCGCAATGCGCTAGACGCATTCATCTTTCCGTTCGCCCCTCTCCCCTTCACGACGGGACGCGCCCAACCGT